TTTTCTTTTATTGAAATCTTGAGAAATAAAATTCATTATTTATAACAAAAATTATATCTAAAATTTAACATTTCATTTATAATCAGAAAAACTACAAAACAAATGAAACAATTCAAGAATTCATAACTAAAATATTATCAATTATTGAATTTCCAAACGATTATCAAAAAGCAATTATTTTGCAACAAAAAAGTGCACAAATTGTTACCATATTTTCTTTAGTTAAGGCACAAATGGTGAGAAAAAACCAATTGAAATAACAGTAAACATTATTTCAAAATTTTAAATTTTAATTCCACTTTTATTTAGATTTTTAAATAAAATGATTTTTTAAATATATTCGATAAAAGAATTTTCAAATTAATATATTTTATTTGATTTGCTTTTTAATTCAGTGAGAATTAAGAGAAAACATTTTGAAAACAAGTGTTAAGTGAGAAGAATAGCGCTATTAATAGCATTTAGTTGTTGACACCCGAGGGCTTGTTTCTGTAACAAATGTGAAACAATTATTTTAAAATGTGTTTATAATTGACAAAATGCATGAATGGTTGGATACTAACGACATTTCGCAGGTTTGATTGCCCAAATGCTCGCCCTTGTCCATAGACAGGGCACCGGAGCCACCGCCGAACCCGTAGCCCTTGGGTCCGAACTTACGGCCGTAACATTGTTTGCAGTACAGGGCGCCACCATGCTCGTTGTTGTTGGTGCTGTCTAATCGCTTGTGGCACAGATCTGCCATATTATAACATATTAGTTCACACATCCATTCAATATTGTGTTTGTATTTTTTGAAGCACAAATATTTTCAATTTCAAATGCAAAATAAAAGCATTGAATACAATACTGACCGCATTTGAAGCAAATCTTGTGCCATTTAAGGCCACCGGCGAGCACTTCCTCGGCCGCGTAGACTGGCTTTTGGCATTTGCCACAATTGGCCTGTGCAACGGGGGTGAACGGCATCCTTCTACCTGTTAACCAATACAATTACACATTGAATTCAATTTAGTTTTTTACGCTTAAATTGTTGCACAAAATATTACAAATGTTGAAAATAAGTTAAATATTTGGATAAAATTGAATTCAATTTTGTTGTTTGTTTTGAAAAAGTGGCTAAAAATGAAACGCATAGGAATTGGTGGCAGATATGTGTTGCATCTAAAGCCTTATTAGGGAGTCGTCTAATCTACTGATGCATTGCAACCACAATACCACTGATTTTAGTCTAAAATTATAGACAAATAGGAATTTTTCAATTCTGTGTTACGATTCTTGCA